CCCCCACACACTTTCCCTGCTTAACAGTAACACCTGGAAAATAGGCCAGGCAAGAATAGGGAGGGGTAGGCAAGTCAAGGCAGAGGATGGGTAGGGAAGGCAATGCAAGGAAGGGAGAGATGGGCAGAGAGAGGCAAGGCAAGGCAAAGGATGGCCAGGAAGAGTTAGGCAAGGCAGGGGAGGGGTAGGCAAGGCAATGGAAGTCAAACAAGGGCAGGTAAAGCAAGGAAAGGCCAGGCAAGAAAGGGGCAGTTAAGTAAAGGTGATATGTAAGGTAATGCAAGGGAGGTGCAGAAAGGAAGGAAAACAGCTGGGCCCAGTGTTTCAGGTGCAGAGGATGGGCTACCCAGGGGACATAAAGACCAGCCCCAGCTTTCTGTTCTGGTACCTCTGGTGTAGAAAATCCAAGGTGTATACAGTTTTTGAGGATTGGCTCCAAATTTCTAGGGTGGGGTTCAGGAAGTGAATCACTAGAGTGTCTTTCCTTGGGAAGCAAAGGATGTAGTCCCACTGTTTGTGGTACCATGGGGAGCCAAACAGCAGCAAGACAGTTCTCCCCTGGCCTGCCCCCTTTGTGTAGGAGCAATTCTTGGATGTTGGCAGTGTTGGAGGTGGTATCTGACTTTTGGGTCTGGACTCCTGAAAGTGTGTCCCAGTGCTTTTACACGGGGAGGAAGGCAGGTAATCCCAGTGCTTCAGGTGCAGGTCAGAGGCTGCAGCAGCCAGGAGCAGCTTTCTGTCCTGGGACATGTGTGGGAGCAATCCCCCGACGATTGCAACGATGGAGTGGGTGTCCAGATTTTGGAGTTAACCTTCTGCAAAGGGGTCACAGTGCTCTTCATAAAAACACACAGTCCTGGGGCTTGTGCTGCAAAGAATTGGGTGCCCAGGGGATGAAAGGGACAGCAATAGTTTTTCTATCTGGCACCTTTGGTGTGGGAGCAACCTCCCAGCATCTTCAGTTTTTTAGGTGGTCTTCTGCAACGTTTGGGAGTCTGTTTACTATGGGCAATGTAAGCAGCTCTCCCCAGTGTGGGTGTGCAGATGCCTTGGGGAGTTAATGCCCAGGGTTCTGGCACTTCTGTATGGGAACAATCCCTGGATATTTTCTGTTTTGGAGGGGGGGATCACATTTCTGCTGAGATAGGGTCTTCATTTCTCTCTTTGGCAGGGAAAGCACTTTTGGATTCTCACATTGGGCAGTTTAGAGTGTCCTAGTGAGCTGAAGTGCTTTTCCTAGTACCCAGTGCTATCAGTTACAGCTGCTGAACCTCCAGAGTGGGAATGTAAAAGCCAAGCTGTTGAGCTTTTTGTCCTCGTCCACCGAGTGTCTGAGCAGCTAGTGGTGGGGTTCAGTTTTAGATCCTGACTGTGAGACTGAAGGATTACGATGGTGCAGAGAGCCGAAGGAGCAGACTCCGGGGGGTGTGCTGCAGTTCGGCGGGTGCAGCTGAAGGTGGAGCCAGCAACAGCTTTCTTTCCTGGCACTTCTGTGAGCTCTGTTTTTGCCGGATGTTTTCAATTCCGTAGCTGGATTCTGAGAGAGGGGGAAAAAAAATTACTAGTACATACTTGGGAAGGAGCTCGTGTTGCCCCTCGAGCGCGGCGCAAATAAGAGTTCGCACGTGGAAGGTCAGCCAGACCTTTCAGTCCCGGCACGGTTCATTTGAGGGCGGCGAGGTTTTGAACTTGGCTAGTTTAGCTGGTTTAGCCCTGGGACACTGACTTTCACAAGTCCACACCGCCATCGCGTGGTGGTTTGATGAGCGGTGAAAGCCAAGCGCTTCTTGTGCTGGGACCATTGGTTAGCGCAGGGGTTGAATTTTGGGTACTGGCTCCTCGAGGATGAAAGAACGTGACCCTGCACTACACGTGGGAAGGAAGGCGAATCGTCTCCTTGTCGGCTCTGCAGTTTCTCGCCTTCAAAGGAGGAGTGAATCCCCAGCACTGGCTTTTTCTTCTAGAACCTTTTCTAGGGGACCAGCTGCTGAACTGGTTTTAGTTTTGTAACTGTGAGGCAGAAGGTGTGTGAGGGGACACAGAGCTGGGCACACAGACCCGTGCCTGCTGTGCAGTTTATAAGCTGCAAAAGCAAAGCGAAGGCCAGAGCTGACCTTCTGTTCCTTTTTGTCAGAGGAGGCAAGTTAAATGTGGAGACAGTAACAGCTTGCTGAGCAGGCACCTTTTGTGACCAATATCTCTACACTTGACCCAGTTCAGGTGCAGGATCCCTGCAAGAGTGAAAGAACGTGTGAGTACCTACAGCTTGAAAGGAAAGCTTGTAGCCCCAGGGCACATGGTGTTGAGATCCTTCGAGGTGACTGTGAAGCCAATTAACTGTTTTCTCCCGTTTTGTTTTCAGATTAAGGTTATGGAGCTGGGCTCAGCAAGAGGAAAAATGCAAAGGGTGCATGCAGCTGAAAAAACAAAGCATAACATCAATGTGTGTTGTGCAGTTTAAGGCTGTATGGGAAATGTGATGCCCGGAACTGTCATTTTTTTCTAGGACTGTTTTCTGGAGGCAGCAGATTCTGAAAGGCTGTCTGTGAGAGTAGAGGACACAACATCCACCTGAGAAGAAACTCCCATAGGCCATTTCCATTTGAAACCCTTAACTGGCACCAGAATCAAGGGGCAATCCTCATCCTCACTGGCCACACCTGGGGCTGTCCCACCCCTTTATCACCCTCATTGTTCACACCTGGGGCTGCCCCAGGCGAGAGGTGACTCCACCCAGTGCTCCCAGTTCCCTCCCAGTATCACTCCTTGACTCCCCCCACTGCTCACAGTCCCTCCCACTGCTCCCAGTATCATTCCTTGACTCCTCTCAGTACTCCCAGTTCCCTCCCACTGCTTCCAGTATCACTCCTTGGCTCTCCCCTGTATTCCCAGTTCTCTCCCAGAGCTCCCAGTTCCCACCCACTGCTCTCAGCATCATTCCTGGACTCCCCCCAGTGCTATCAGTTCTCTCCCAGAGCTCCCAGTTCCCACCCACTGCTCTCAGCATCATTCCTGGACTCCTCCCAGTGCTCCCAGTTCCCTCCCACTGCTCCCAGCATCACTCCTTGACTCCCCCCAGTGCTACCAGTTCTCTCCCAGTGTTCCCAGTTCCCTCCCACTGCTCCCAGCATCATTCCTTGACTCCAAAATTGAATATGGATGAAGATTCCTCCCAGACAAAAGGGGCCACAACGGAAAGGGTCTGGGGGAAAGGGGGAAGCCACAAGCTTAGAGATGGCACTTCTGGTCAGCTCAAATTCTGTTTTTAGCTTGCCTCCTCCCCAATTTTGTCTCAGTTGTGCCCACCTAATTCTTCAGCTGCTGCTCCCTGGGAGGAGGTGGCCCTCATCCATGGTGGCACAGCTGACCTGGACAAGATGAGGAGGAATAAACACCAGCTGAAGGCCTCTGTGAGCTGTTTTGGGACATGGCAGCACTTTTGAACATCACATTGATGCCTTTGGTGATGCAGCACTAAATATTAATTACCCTTAAACCAACTCTGTGTCTGTTCTCCCAGGGTCTCACACCTGCCTCATCCTCCATGTCAGATCCTACTTTATTTTCTAAATAAATACCCTGCAGCCACCAGATTTCTTGGTTTGAATCCCAGGCTTTCTCCTGGCATATGTTATTTTCTTCCTGGAAGCCACAAGCCGTGGTAAACAAACGTTTACAGGTGCTGGGAACACGGGACACAGGCTTCTCCTTGGCTGACTCATCTGTCTGGGAAGAGCCATAAATTCTGGAGCTTCAGGGCTGAAGTCAGATAGGGAAAAAGCTCTTGGGTGGGCATTTGCTTGTAGAGTTCCTTGTATTTCCCCTAAAGCACATCCTTCTTGGGATTCTTTATGGATGCCTGGTGATCCTGGTCCTATGACATGGATGTGACCTTGGAGAAGGAGGAGCTTTACCCCTCTGTGTGCTTGGTGTCCAGCTCTGCTTTGGGACAGTGCCCAAATCCTGCTGCCTCAGTTTCCCCCATTCACCTACAAGTTGGTTTTCCTGCATTTAGGTGTAAGTTGCTCAGGACAGGGACTGTACCCCACCAAGGACATCCCTCTGTTACAGCATCACTCCCCTCTGCCTTTAGGGAGGGTCCCCTTTAGACCCCCAGGGGTGGGGGGCTGCAGTGAGGGGCTTTGGGGTGTTCCCAGGGATGACAGTGTGGATGAGCTGAGATGGGAATGGGGACAACAGCAAGGGGGGCAGAGAGATCTGGCCTAGGGCTGCAGAGAAGGCTGGTCAGGGATGATGCACCCTGATTTTTGGGGGCTTTAGGGTGCTTTCTTTCCCGTAAAAGAGGAAAGGAAGAACAGAAATGAATGCAAAGGATTCTCCCCCTTCGAGCAGCAGCTGTGCAAAATCTCACCCCGGGGAGGCAAATCATGGGGGTGGGCAAAAGGCTTTCACAGCCCCCTTTCTCCACCAGCCTGCCCAGCTCGGGGGCGTCTTTTCCACCCAGGTGGGCTTCGTCCCTCGCCCCTTCCCTCCCCGGGCGCAGGAGGGGAGCGAGGGGAGGGGAAGCCGGCGGGGTGTTTAGGGGGATTGTCATGGTTACCTCCCTGGCAAAACAAATGGCTCCACTGGATGATGATGATGATGATGATGATGATAGTGGTCACTCAGACAGCTCCGGACAGTGTGGGGCGGCGGTGGGGGGGCGAGAAAGCCACCCTGGGGAGCCAGAACCGCCCCCCTTGGGGAGCCAGACACCCTCTCTCGGCTCCTCGCCGCCGGGGCACATGTTGCTGCAGCCCGTTCGGTAAGACCCTTCCTCCCCCACTCCAGACCCGCCCTGGACCCCCCTGGTCCCCCCAGCCCCGCTGGCCGGTGGGGAGGGTCCGGGGGGGTGATGCCACCGGTTGCCGAGGTGGCTGGTGGTGCAGCGCTCCCCCACCCCAAGCCCCGGCGCTCCCTCCTCTCCCTCCCTTTTCCTCTCTCCTCATCTCCCTCACTCCCTGTCTTCCAGAGACAAAAGCGCTCCGCAGCCGTGCCTGTCGCCTTCAGGATTCCTCCTGTCCCTCCTGCCCCCCCAGCCCGGCCGCAGAGGGGCTGGAAGAGTGGGTGAAGTTGCTCCAACCCCCCCATTCCCTTCCTCCTCCTCCTCTCTCCCAGGAAAGGTAAGAAAAACAGTGGTTACTCTCCGTTTGCTCCTGCACCTTTTTAGCTCCGCAGGGGTGGGTGTGAGGTGCGTGTGTGTGTCTGTGTGTGTGTGTGTGTCACTTCCCAAGGCTGTGCACGATCCCAGCACAAAGCAGCTCACTGAAGAGATCCCTGTCATAATATTTCTGCAGGCACAAGCCCACACTTTGAAAGCTGCTGCTTCCCAGCCTTGCCTTTTCCCAGCTGGATAGTGAGTCCCAGAGCGTCCCATCCCTCCCCAAAATTGTGCAGGCATCAGTAGTGGCTTTCTCCATCTCCCTGCAGGCAGAGGACAGGGATGGATGGGGGAGGGGGGTGATGCTGCAGGTGACAGGCTCTTGCTCTCCTGGGCAGCCAGGTGGGATATCCTGGCTGTGGACACACTGTTTGGGGAAGGAGGACTGACCTTGGCAGGGTGAGGGGGGCTGATCTCAACGGTAAGGGTCAAAGCAGCAAGACCTGGCTTGTATCTGCCACGTTGGCTGGGGCATGGCAGGGCAGGGATGGATGGGGAAGGGCTGTGCTGCTCCTGAGGGCCCTACGTGTCTCCTTGGATCCAGACGCATTCCAGTTATGGAGTTTGGCAATTTTAGCCCAGCAGAGGGTTGTCTGGGCTAACAGCATATCTCTGGTTCAGCTCAGAGATCTTCCCCCAGCTGCAAGCCTGGCAAGGCAGGGGTTATCTAAACCTTGTGTCAGAAATGAGTGATTGACAGCTCTAGAAAGGGGCTTGGGGCGTGAATCCACATCCTTGAGACCCAGCTCTGGGGTCAGGCTGGTGGCCCAAGACATCTGCCAGGGGTATGACTGGCAGATCCCAAAATCCCAAAGTCTCTGCCAGGGCTGTCAGTCACGTTCCAACCTGGCACTGCGTCACCCCGGGAACGAGGACCCAGCTGCTGGCAGGAGCAGCTGCTCCCCAACCTTCCCCCAATCTCCATATCCAAGGCCTTGGGGTGCCCTTGGGGGCACCCCAAAGGGATGTGTGTCTCTGCCCAGCAACCTTTGTCACCTCTGTGGCAGTGGGGGGCCATGCTGTCACCCTTCCAGGGCCTGCACTGGTTGTTTTTCCGTTTTCCCCATCAGGTGTGATACCCTGCTTGCATTTCGGGGTTTGGGGAGACTGGAGGTGGGAGAAAAACTCCTGTAGCTTTTCCTGGGAAGTTCCCACAGGTCTGCCATTGGATCCCTAGCTCTTCCAGACAGGAGAGTGCTGTGTATGCTTTGAAAACACCATTTGTCCTGGTGCTTCCTAGAGATGTTTTGGGGGTTGATCCCAGTTCCCTGGCCAGGTTTGAGCCTCCTGCTTTGGGGGAAAGCAGCTGGAGGGGTCCTGCATGTCTTAGTCGTGACCTGCAGATGATGTGGGTCAGGTAGGTAAAGTCAGGGGTCCCTCAGCAGCATGCCCACATCTTCTCCCTGAGCCCTGCTGTCCTTGAAAACCAGGGAAAATTCCCAAGTGTGACTCTACTTAAAAGCCCTGAAAGTTTGGGAGGTGCAGGGCTTCTCCCGTCTCGGGATTGCAAACAGGGGGGAATTCTCTTCCCCGTGGGGATTGCCCAGGGATGCTGGTGGAGGGTTGTGGTGCAACAGGCACCCTGTCACCATCCTTGTCCGGATCTGTCCACCTGTAAATCTCCACAGGGCACTCCGACTGTTGTCATCCTGGCCAGCCACTGGATGTCAGTGTTGCTTGAGACAGAAGAAGAGGAAGGAATATTTTACCCGGCTGGAGGAAACCAGGCACCCGCTGAGCAGTGGGGATGTGCCCCTGGTCTGGCTCGGACCTGGAGATGTGATCTCCAAGGGAACCCGTTTGGGGCCGGTCAGGGGTTGGGGCAGGGCGGGGCAGCGAGTCAGCAACCCAAAAGTGCATCTGTCGCACCGTGTGGCCCCAGGGCTGGGCTGCACATGGCTCTTCATGTCTTGGGGGGCTAAAGCAGCCGGGGCTGCCCCTGGACATCTGCCCTTCAGGCAGCAGGGCTAGGTGTGGCTGAGTTGGCTTTTATTCCAGCTCCTGGTTTGGCTCTCCCTGTCCTGTTGTCAGCTGTAGGTGCCACAGCCCCCGTGGTGTGGCACTGCTGGGACCCCAAGGCATGGCTGGGAGTCAGGTCCTGTCCGAAGCCAGGCTGTGTGCTCACAATTTGCTCTGTTTTTCCATTCAATACATGAAAATACACCTCAGAGGAGCATTATTCTGCCTCTGTCTTTACTCCACGCGCTCAGACAGATTTTTTTTTTTTGAGGGCACATCAGTGCTCAGAGACACAGACAGACACCCAGGGCAGTTCTGAGCAGCGCCCCAGGCATTCCCCCCCCCTTTTCCAGGCACGTGAACGCATTTGCCAACCCAATCCTTTAAAATTCAGCCCCAGCCTCGCACTGCTGGGACAGGCACCCGCAGCCACGTGGAGGGGCTGGAGCCCG